CCCCGCACCCCATTTCCCCCCGCCCTCCCTCACACGCGCGGGCGTCGCAGCTGCCGCAGACAACAGCAACGGTGGCCATAACTTTTTAAAGAGCCCCTCCCGAGAGCTGGGGGAGCCAGAATGACCTCTCGCGTGAGGTGGAATTTGCAAGAGGTGGAATCACAGCGAGAGGTGGAATTTGCCCCTACGAGTCCAAGGCCACCACCCCAGGGCTCAGGGAGGCAAGGGAATGTTTCGCCCTGCCCCGCCCCTCCCCCCCGCGCCGGTGTTGCAGCTGCCGCCGAGAACAGCGACGGCGGCCATAACTTTTTAAAGAGCCCCTCCTGAGAGCTGGGGGAGCCAGAATGACCTCACGCGTGTGATGTCCGAGCGGCAACGCCACTCGGACATCACATGCAAGAGGTGGAATTTGCCCCTACAAGTCCAAGGCCACCACCCTGTGGCTCAGGGAGGCAAGGGAACGTTTCGCCCCTCCCCTCCCCCCACGTGCGGGCGTCGCAGCTGCCGCCATAATTTTTTAAGGAGCCGGGAAGGAGAGCTGGGGGAGCCAGAATGACCTCTTGCGAGAGGTGGAATTTGCCCCTACGAGTCCAAGGCCACCACCCCGGGGCTCAGGGAGGTGGGGGAACGTTTCGCTCCCCCCACTGTGTCCCAACTGATGGCTGGTAGGAGCAGGGGGTGGGGCTTATGTGCCCGCCCCCTGGGCTCCTCACTGGCGGAGCAGTGCTCCTGTGCGCTCCAGCAGGATAGGAATCGAGGCCTGTGAATATAGATTTTCACATTTTCTATTAATATAAACTTTTCCTAAACATGCTATTAAATTTTGTAGAGTATGTGGTTCTTTATTCTGAATAAAGGTATATTAGGATCTTACTCCATCAAAAGTATATTCCCTCAACATATCAATGATGTAGTCCTAAGATCCAGGGAATTCCCTCATATCTTTCCCAGAGTTTTTATAGGTATCAACTTTTTCTTGATTTTCTGGTTTCTCCTCTTAAGTTTTAAAGTCTTAATTCTATGTCTTTTTCCTTTATAAGTGTAGAAGTTATCTTCTGGAAACAGCCATCTATGTTCCTTCTTAGTGGTAGTTTGTAATTCCATAAATTGGGGGGGGGGTTCTCTCTGAGATGGTTAAGAAGTCACTATTTTGGGAATTTCATCAGCCATGATTCTTATAGAGTCTCTGGTACATTTTTGTAGAACGTGTTTCTCTTTGTAGACTTAAATTCTTTTTTGTAAATCCAATTATCTTGCTTGTAGGTGTCCTCTATGTTTTCAAGGCAATCATGTCTTTTTTCCTCCTCATTCCACGCTATCTGGGCTGTTTCCCTCTTAGTTTTAAGCTGTTGCGTCAGTATTTGGATTTCTGTCTGTACTGAATGGAAAGCCACAGCAACTATATTTTTAACCGTATTCAGGAAGTCTTTCAGGGAAGCCTGTATAGGTTTATTGTCCATAGATTCTGGTATAGTTAACAGTAAATCCTCTGGAGTCCTCTGCAGTCTATCGATAGAGTTCATTTTTCCAAAAATGTGTAAAAACAAGAGACTCTCCACAAATATTTTCCCAAGCCACGTTTTACAGAGATAACAATTTTAGAGAGTTTACAAGAAGGGGGACCTGCGATACTCGTGGGGGGGGAGTATTCCCCACAGGTCCCAGCCTGCAGAGGCAGGAGGAGCTCCGCAGGAGGAGGAAGTGGCAACAGGTGAGCCCAGCAGGCGGACCCATCAGGCCTTTTAAGCCTTCTCCCTCCTCCCTCCCCCCTGGCGGCAGTGAGGCCTGAGGCCCACCAAGACTTCTCCTGCCCCCCCTCCCCAGCGGTGGCGGCGAGGCCTGAGGCCTGCCAAACCTTCTCCCTCCTCCCCCCAGCACCAGCGGCAGTGAGGCCTGAGCAGTTCACAGCCGCTGGCCCGCCAAGTCTTCTCTCCCCCAGCAGTGGCAGCAGCAAGACAGTTGCCAGTGCGTTCTCTGCGCATGCGCAGGGGACACTCTTTTACTTTTGGGGGAATTTAAGTATCCCCCATATAGTTTTTTCAACGTTTTAGATTTTTCTGCACACCTGGGGACTGCTTCAAGTGTGCAGGGAAATCTCTCTGCCCCCCCCCAAGTGCCCCCGATGTGTGGATTTAGATATCCGCACGGAGGGGGCAACTTGGCTATTAGATATATAGATATCAGCAGTTCTTGTGGTCTTGGCAAGGTTAACATAGGGCAAAGGGCTTATCAAATTGTTTACATTTCAAAGCAATATGGTCAGAGCAAAAATGGAGCTTTAAAGTTTCAATAGGGATAAACATACACTGCTATGGGAATTAATTATATAAAAAGTTCAGAATAAGATCCAATTAAAATGTAAAGCCTTTATCATTCAAGTATTAAATTATAACAGATCCCAAACTTCAGTATTAGTTCTAAAGTCTCCATAAAAAGGACAAGAATATTAATTGGCTCTCACTAAAGATCAGAATCGTAGAAAGGATGGTTTTATTTATTAAAGGGTGTGTTGTTCAGGGTGCAAAATATATGTATCTTCTACATGCACATAATTTTGTACATACGCAAGGGAATATCTTTCATGTAATCATTCATGATGATGATGATGATGATGATGATGATGATGATGATGATGATGATGATGATGATGATGATGACGACGACGACGACGACGACAAAAGCACTGGAACCAGTTAATTAAAAATCCTAACTTTCTGGGTACGTTCACCTTAGATGATGTAAGGATTATCACTGTCCAGAAAGGATGGTTGTGAATTTGATTCTCATGTTTTAAAATGCGGCCAACACTGCCTTCTCATGTTTCTTTGGCCATATACAAATTACTGTACATGCTGCGGTCTTTATGCAAGTCATCTGTCTTGCTCTTGCATGCCCTTTCTTCTGTGATGTTAAAGATAATAATAATGGGACCGTTGTAATGGATGAACTACTTTGTCCAAGATGACAAATGATGTACCACTTCAGCCTTTCGGTGTAAGCTATCCCAGTCTTGTCATTCACTAGGATGTTTCTAACATTCAGTCGAAACCAACACTGGGGTCCTAAGCAGAGTTACGCCCTTTAGTCCGTGCTATGGTACTGTCAAGGTTAGATTATTCTTATGGTTGCCAAACTCCAGGTGGTGGCTGGAGATCTCCTGGCCCTCATAACAAATAAATTCGACACCCCTGCACTAAATAAACCACTTTCCATTCACTTTCCAACTGGATTTTACTGTGTGAACTGGCAAAAACAAGTTGGAAAGTGGATTATTTAGTGTGCGTGACCACAGCGGTTGTCAGCTTCCTATTCCCTTATCAATTGGGATACAATTTCTGCCTTCTGTGTAACAAGAAAGTAAGTGATCAGCATGAAAAGTATGGACAGCTAGAACTTACCTGGCATTGTTCTCTCCTTCTTTCCTTCACCCACCATTCCAGATATCATGGCCTTGAAGCGCATGTTAGAAAAACTGGGTGCAGCCAAAACCCACCTGGAACTGAAGAAGATGATCACGGAAGTGACAGGGGGGATGAGCGAGACCATCTGTTACCAGGACTTTGCCCGGATGATGCTGGGCAAGCGGTCGGCAATCTTCAAAATGTAGGTGCTGCTTACCTCCATTTCCCACTCCCCGGTGGCAGCCTCCACCCCCTTTCATCCCCCACCCTTGCAGACTGACATGTCCCCCCATTCTTCTTTCTGCAGAATTCTGATGTATGAAGAGAAAGCCAAAGAGAAGGCTGAGAAACCATCTGGGCCCCCTCCCAAGAAAATAATTGCAGATCTTCCTTAAAGGTCCCTGCTTTATTGCGATCGATTGGCTTGCATCTGATCACTCTACTCAGCAAAATTTCAAGCCTTCCTCCCGCCTCCGGAGCCTTGGTCAAGCAGCAGTACTCAGAGAAATCTGTTCTTTTTATCCCTGTCCATCCACACCACTTAGCATAAAGGGAAACTGGAAATCTTGGGAGAACAGTTCTCAGGAACTATTTTGTGTTAGAAGGAAGAGTAAAATAATTTAGAGCAATACACCCACCCGCCTCCAAAAAATGTTGTCAGCGCTATCCTTCCATTCTTGTTAATGCTCATGTTAACTGTTAGGGGTGCAATCCCGTTCCCCAGCACATGTGACCACAGGGAAAGGTTTGGGGAGCAGGGCCTAAAGAGGAAGGCAGATTCTTCTCAGCAATCTGTTTCTCCTCAGACCCCAAACCCCCACATGGCCAGCTCATACAACACAGCCCAAAGAGGAATGGGCTTCCATCAAAAAGGACAGGAGACGGGGTTGCCACTTACCCGGTACGTGTGGGCAACCTCCTGCCAATGCTCCTTGTCTCCTGCCCTCGGTCAGTGGAGTGGCGGGGGGGAAACTGGGGGGACTCAACATCATGTGGGGCACTGACGTCTGGGGCTATTTTTGGGCAGGAACACACAGGAACGGAGTTCCGGCTGGCTTCAGAGTTGGCCACGCCCACCGCAGCCAAAACCTCTGTGGGCGTGGCTACAGAGGGAAGGCCGGGGGAGAGGCCCCCCCCCCCCGGCAACTCTGAGGCAGGCGGGGCGGGTCCTGGAAGGATCAGGGAGGTATTTAAATGCCTCCCCATGCCTTCCCCGGCCTGTCCAAGGCGGGCCGGGGGGTCCTGGAAGGATCAGGGAGGTATTTAAATGCCTCCCCATGCCTTCCCCGGCCTGTCCAAGGGCCGGCTTGCCCGGGCTCCCCACAGGCACAGGGCATCTGGGCAAGCCAAGGGAAAGCATGGGGGTGTGGCCTAATATGCCAATGAGCTGTGCTGTCAGGGTGTGGCCTAATATGCTGAGTTCTGCTTTATAGGTGTGGCCTATTATGCTAATGAGTTCCTGCTGCGCTTTTTCTACAAAAAAGGCTCTGCTGACGTCACTTTTGGGTGAAAACATTCCTACAGCGTTGCTTGATGCAATCACATGGCTTCTGGGTTTTTCACCCAGCAGCAATGTTCCCTCTAAGCTGTGGAGTCTTGTGAGCAAAAATTCTGGTTTGTGAGCTGCTGGCATTAAAGCTGTGAGCGAGCGATTTGGCTGCTGCACAAGTCAGTTTGCTCTGGAGCCTTCCTTCCTGAGCTGAGACAAAAATGTGTGAGGCGGAGCCTAACAAACTGTGAGCCAGCTCACACTAACTCAGCTTAGAGGGAACACTGCCCAGCAGTGACTTCGACACATTGCACTATGCTCCGCTCCCTGAGCTCCACCCTACCCCCCGGAAATGTTCCTGGAGGTAACCCTAATAGGTGAGCCACTGCTAGAGTAATGTCCCCAGAGGCAATGGAGCACACAGGCAGCAGGCTTATAGACTGTCCAGTGCTGCAGCAAAACAGCAGGGGAAAATATTGCCCAGCTCCTATGGGAAGCACCTCCACTAACCAATCCCCATGAGTGTGCGCATGGTAGGGAAGAAACATTGCCACCTTTGACTGGTTTAATCCATAGAGGAATCAACCCAAATGTTAGTCAATCAATCAGTGAAAGCCAACATTTTTTTTTTTAGCTCCTATGGGAAGCACCTCCACTAACCAATCCCCATGAGTGTGCGCATGGTAGGGAAGAAACATTGCCACCTTTGACTGGTTTAATCCATAGAGGAATCAACCCAAATGTTAGTCAATCAATCAGTGAAAGCCAACATTTTTTTTTTTTG